GGGGGGGGGGAGGGAGGTTTGCGAGAGAAGGATAACGATGACGATGTCGATGACGACGACGATGACGATGGATGCTTGAGGGGAGGGAAAGGGAGAGAGGGGGCGACACGCGGGACCGATTTGCACGTTTCTCATGACGTGTACCGTGCGGCCACGCGGATACGTCAATCGAGAGACTGAGAGAAAAAGGGATATTTAATTTGAGCCTCTCGCGCGACAGGATGCGAGCAATGAAGGGCGCTTACTCCTGCGTGAGTATAAGGGTCATTCTTTTCCGCGGAAGATAGCGGCAGGTGGATTTATACCGCTTCTATGGATTTTTTCGGAAGTGCGTAATTGTTATGCAGCAGCGGCTGCATTGAGAATCCACCATCCGGAAGGGTGAAATGTTGTTCTTTCTCCTTTTCTTTCTATTTATCTGTAGCAAGTCAGGAAATTGATGTATCAGAAATGTGTTTGCATTGTCATGTCATATTAACGTGTAGCATTTTAATTTCGTATCTTCGATATATTTTTTTTGCCGATTATTTCTTTTTCCGAGTATTGGTATTTGTATCCATTTTTCCGTTTTAATTTCAATCGCTACCAATTGTAAATTGATAAAACTTGAATTTACGTTATAGAGGCCCTTACAAGACATTTGCGATTTAAAGTGTGACATATAAATTTTCATAGATAGATTTTGATAAAAATTGATAATACTGATGGATAATTATTTTCGTCCATTTCGATAAATTCTTTTTAATTAGAAATATTTTTACTATTAATTAGAGATAATCTATCTTGATTTTGCAATCTGTCTTCGAAGCATCGATTTGAACAATAAATTTCATCAAGTGCTCCCATGAAATTAATACTTAAAAATAGTGTTTCAATACATCTGATATTTTTTAATACAGGTGAGTAAACATGATTAATTAATTATTGCTATTCATACTTATGATCAATTAATAGTTGTACAGAAATAAAATGTATAACTAACATATTAATAATGAATAGCACTGAGTTTTAATTTGCATTAACATATTAACGCACAAACACATTATTGTAATATATACACGGCTCATCTCTCTCGATAATTATAGTATTACTAATTTCTATTAACAAATTATAATTAATTTACTTACAAGTTAATTAATAATTTTTTCGATTAATATATAAGTTAACTAAGAAGCTTATTATTTATATAATAACATAAATTTTAAGTATGCTTTTTCTGCTTCTTAATAAATTAGTTGATTTTCTTGTAAATTATTGCCAATTCTTCTAATATAACAATAATACAATTATAACAATAATATACTCTCTGTGCTTTTCTATTGTTCACAATTTTTACTTTTGCCACATGAATTCTCTCAATGCCTCAGATTGCTTATTACATTTCACACCTGGTCACGCAAATAAACTTTATAGCGATGTAAATAGGCCAATATAAAGTATAATTCACTACTTATGCACTACATTTTCAACGTTGCAGTGTTGCAGTGTTGTAAATGCAATATTAATCATTATATTAATTAAGGCATTAAAATGTAGAGTTGCAAGATTTTAATAAAGTTGCATCAATATTGCTTTATTGATCTTGCAATAAAACATTTTTGCGATGAACAAAACTAAATAAAATAAATGGCTTATATGTAAAAAATTTTGAATTTAATCCCTTCTTAAATACAATATTCATGATTCAATTAGCAGATAATTATAAATTGTTTTTTTTTCATACAATCAATAATTAATTTTTGACTGAAGTAAATCTTAAAAATCGAAAAGTACTAATAACACACAGCAATAGATATTATTTTTGCAATAATTTTTGTTTGTCAACATTTTCATTTTTTTTGGTGATGGATAATCATCAGTTTAATAATACTAAAATAATGTACTTATATAATTATTAAAATAGGTGTATTTTCTTACAATAAAGAAATTTTTATTAATATTATTATTTGTTATATACAGGTCGCCAATGAAGATGGATTATTCAGCAATATTTAGTCGAAGCCACTGTATTTTGGGTCAAAATTTAGAGGATATAGTTGCATTCCTAGATAAAGGAAAAGTGCGAGAATTACTAAATTCAAGGGACAAAATAGTCCAAGACAGAAAAGCTCAAGAAATGAGGAAGCTGACCACAGAAGCCAATAGGAGCTGTTATAACAAGGGTATAATTTGGAATGGTGAATATAACTCAAATCTGCAGAATGGATATATTGAACAAATCAACCGTATAATATTGCGTTTTAAATTTTTATTAATATAATAGAAATATATCATTTACCGTGGGACTACATTTTTGTAAGTAGAAAAAAAAGTAGAATAGCTAATGATCCTTTTGCAAATTGCAAATTTCTAAACGTTGAAGATTTAAGATTTATGCCCAGTCTCAGATATATATGCGTAGTTTTAGAATTAATAATTAGTAAATGTTATAATATTTAATAATTATTTAAATTATTAATAATTATAAATAATTATTAATAATTATTTATATTATTAGTAAATGTTATAATATTTAACAATTAGTTAATGTTATAATATTATTACTTGTGTGCATGCATTTGTGTTTGCAAATACTTGCAGATGTTAAATTCGGAGTAGATTAACGATCAGTCCCGAATTTTTTAATTTATTTTACGTTATTTAACGTTTTATATTATATTATTTATTTTTTATTCATTATTTTGTTTTTATTTCGAAAAATTTCCAGACATCAGTAACATATTTTTTCTTACGTTTTATGTTAATATCATAATTTTAAGAAGAAATCATTTATAATTTTGAAGAATTTCAAAAATGATAGAAAAAGTAGAAACTTTGGGGTGAGTTAATTTTAATATTCGCCGAGATGAAATATCTCGTATCCCCTTTATCTCGTCGATAGCATCGTTCTGTACACGGCACAAAAATATATTTTTAAACGCGGCAATTTGGTCGACTGAGTGTACTCGGTCGTGGCTGGCTAATGTGCCACTAACCCAGTTAGCCGGAGCAAGTCTTTCTTCTTGAAGAGAGGGATCTGCGCCTACTCGGCACGTATACACGCGCCATGCGTGTGTGTATATATATATATATATATATATATATGTATATATATATACACACACATACTGACACTTGTTTATAATAGGGTGGTATATGTGATACGTGAACGTGTTGGGGCGACCACGTACACGATGCATCCGCGTGCAGTTGTGTGTATGCGTGTATTGTAAGCAAGTGCGAGTGCGATCGTCGGATCGTATCGGCCAGACCTACCTACCTATCCACCGTACTAGCGTTCACTACAAGCATACGGCATGCCTCGCTTACCTCACGGATTTGCTCCTATTCATCTTCTCTTCTTTTCTCTCCCTCAGCATGAATCCGTCTCGAAGAGACATCGGAATTCCCCATAGAAGATTCTTTTTCTCTTTTTAATTAACTCCCTTTTTCCCTCTTTTTATTTAACGCTCCCTTGTATCCCTCAATGGAGTTATCCTTATATCATTTATGATTTTTTTGTCCCCTTATTTTTTTTTGGTTAGAAATAGTTTAGTTTTTAATTTTTTTTTAAGTAGTAATAAGAGTAACAATCTTTTTAATAGTATTATATAATATATGTTTTTTAAGTAGTAATAGTAGTAGTTTAAGCATGTAATATAAATAAAATAATATTGGACCTAAGGAAATATATACATACGTAAAAATGAAGGTATTTTAAGTATGTTATTACTTGTGTGGAGATGTGCAATGTGAAACGTTGTTTTTTTATAGTAAATATCTTATATCATGTTTGTTCCCGTTTTGATTTACCTTCATAGTCTGCCACTGCCAATCGATGTCCTTGTTGTGTTCCAGGGTGCCACAGCTTCGCTGGTGGTTGCAATAATTCCAACAGTACAGAGAATTTCCGTCCGTCGTTGCCCCCGACTCCGGAAATTTCTGAGTACCAGCAGGTATCGCAATATAACAGCAGTAACTACCAGTTTTCCGGGCCTCCATGTCAAAACGCCTGCCAACAATCATCCAATTACGACGATTCAATTGCAACCAACCGATATAACTTACCGAATTATAATTCTCCATTGTACAATTACGGTTCGCCATCGGACGCCACGAACAAGTGTGGTATCAACGTCCCAAATTCGTCCGACTGCTTTAATCTTCCATCGTCACCAGAATCTCCCACAACCACTCCGCCGAAAGTGACGTCGCCATCGACGGTCGCGAGGACAAACAGAGCACAGGCACAGCCTCAGCGTTTCGCGTGTCCGCAGAAGCGCAACGTTTTCGTCTCCGGTTCGTCCACAACGACATTCACGACGTCGCCCACGTCGACGAATACGCGTAGCATCGCCGCTACCAACGCGGCGCCGGCCGCCACTAACGTGCTGTACAACGAGCAGCTACCGTCCCAAAACTTCAGGAACAAGACGGAGTATCGTGGCGGCGCGGAGGAGCAACAGCATTCGTGTGGTGGATCAACCTCGTCGTCCCGATACAATCCGTCCGCGTATAACGTCACGCCGAACACGCTGAAGATCCTGTCGAACGTCGGTGGTGACAACATCTTCGTGGACAGGAACAGTTTCTTGACCTCCCTGACGGCGATACCAGAAGTGAGAGAGGAGCAACAGCAGGAACAGCTCGTGAGTGAGTCGTCCGTGATACCACGTTACAGGCTTAACAACGCAGGCATCTTCCCGGAGAGGGGCCCAACTTTGAAGGAAGAGTCCGTGATAAACGCGAGCATAGTCGGTACCATTGGAGTCCCTAATCGCAGCAATTTTAAGCAGCAATCCTTCTGCGCGGGAAGAAGCACCGGCGACGCATCGCTGGTGAAGCAAGCGGCCCTGCCGCAATATATAGACACCATTTCGCCAACATCGGACATCGTAACGGAGATGAAATACGAGACGCAATCGGGTCCGCCGGCGGCGCCGCCCCACTTGACTTCATCCGGAGTCGAGCCGCCGCACAGCAGCCAAGGTTCCGGGATAGTGTTGGGCAGTTCACCGACTGAGATTGACACTTTGCTGATGCCCGGTTGCTGGGCAAACGGGCAGGACTCCTTCATGGAGGGTGGAGTCACGGATGCGAAGCAGACGGCCGTCGCATTCCAAGATAACTGGGACACGCTCTTAGGTACGACGGTCTCGGAGCAGACGTTGCCAGACGTGAAGTTACTACCCCTTCCACCATTCACCAATTATACGGGACACCTTCAAATCAATGGTATCCCTGGGCATCACTATCATGCGATAGCTTCGTCTGGTCAAAGATCGTCGATCGACGTGGGCTCTGCATCTCCCACGCCCTCCTCCAATCAGGAATTCTTCGAGTCGCCTGTTGTGTCTTCTAGCACGCCATGTCCGCAGGCAAGTCAGAAGCAACAGCCGCAGCAGCAACAGCAAAACCATCAACATCCGCAACATCACCACCCTCACAATCAGCAACAACAACTGCCGCAGTCGACGCAACCGATAAACTACGAGGACATGGAAGACATAGCCCAGATCATCGGTTCTGCGATAGCAGACACGACGGTGCCAGGCAACGGGAATGGTCCCAACTCCGAGCAGGATACAGACGCCTCGAGGGATTGGATAGATATCGCCGATTGGATTACTACCGAGGCAGGTTGTTCGCCTAAGACCCAAGAGACCACTTCGCCTAGTACGTTCGCGCCACATCAGATCTACGTGACTACGACACCGCCGACGCAGACTCAGCAACACGCTGGCTCTGCGTTACAGAACTTGCTTACGCAGAAACTCGATTACGCGCCCCTGTTGCAGGCGAGACTGCAGGCCGGCGCAAACGCGAATCTTCATCAGAACGCGTCGTGTGGTGAGACCCCGTCGTCAACAAGCCCGTACCCACCGCTCAGCCCGCCTAACCGAGTGTCCACATCCTGCAGCCCCGACGACATCCTGCACTCCTCCTTTGCCGCGCCCTCCCACCCCAGAAAGAGGTCACGATCCTCGCCGGGCTCCGGGGCCTCGCCCTCCAAGAAGGGCCCGACCGCCGGTGCCGCGGCGCTACCATACGGAACGGAATCGGGTTTAATGAGTGGCAAGGATAAGCCAATACATCGGTGTCATATCTGTCAAAGAGGTTTCCTAAACAAAAGCAATATTAAGGTGCACCTTCGCACTCATACTGGTGAAAAACCATTTAGATGCGACGTGTGCAACAAAGCCTTCAGGCAAAAGGCCCATCTTATTAAGCACCAACAGATTCACAAAAGAATTGGCAGGGATTAGATCATTCTTTTTTCGATCGTACAGACATATTTAATAAGATAGAAGATAGTATATAATTGTTAAAAATAAGATAGATGAATATATAATAATAACATTTGGACGCATTGAACGTCATCATGACACGCTTGAAGTATACGTACTGATGATGAAATGTGTCGATCGTAGTGACTGAGTGAACAATTTTAATTTTGATTCATCGGAATCAAGATAAGTATTGCAAAATCTGTATCTTCAATGCACCTTCGAAAAGTAGTCTGATGGGATTTCGATGACGAGCCGCTTGACCGTTCACCCTGAGCGTTCACTGAATCTCACAATCAGAGATAACAATAAAGAATAAGAGTAACCCTTACTCTCTATTGTTATGTCTTATTTCGGCGTTCAATAATGTTCGGAGCTCACGGTCCAGTGATGCATCGCGTTAAGATCGCATCGGACTATCCGCGGGTACGAGCTTTTTGTTTTACGTATTGAAGATAGGCTGAGTTTTACTAATGATCTATGATCGAGTCACGATGTTCGATGGATGGGCCTGTTGTCTGGCGGTGGTGCTTCCAAGTGATTCTTGAAGCACAGGTGCAATAATGAAGTAGAGTTAGTGTCTTCAATATTGGTAAGCTTCAAGTATGACTTATCTGGGAATCTCTTTGACGGTCGTGCCCGGTGCATGACTTCATTGATTGCCGTCCATTCTTATTCATAAATGTGATTCCTTTCCGACATTCCGTTCTGATACAGACTCCGCGTACGCGGTACGAAAAAAAGAAACAATTTTTAGGAAATCTCTAGTTATACATACATCCGCACACATCTGTGCTTGTATGTATGTATATACGAAAAGTTTCATATATAAATATATATATATATATATATATATATATATATATATATTTATTTATATATGACAAAAAAATTCAGAAAAATTATTTAAGATTTGTTCTTTTTATTTTTTATTTTTTTGTTATGTGATAATTGCTTCGAGAACTATTGAGAATTCGACAGATACTCACTCGCGAAAAAAATTGTAACATTACACTGTAACATTTTTTTTTTGCGTGTGAGTAACGAGCACGGAATTGTTGACGACGGTTAGTTTATCTAAAAATAATTTTCATTTTACTAATTCGATTACTGTGTTATTATACCGGCTGTACTGTACTATACTGGTTTTCATTATACGTTCGCTAGAAGAAGAAGTTGTAAAAACAGTGGTCTCCTGGATCTTGGGCGGACGGCGTCCAAGGATAATGCAATACGACGATAACGGTCGTTTCGCGGCGGCTGTATTTTGCGAGGTATTGTATCTTTTAAGTAATAAAATTTGCAATACTGAGCTTGGCGCGAGACAAACCGAGATTGGACATTTTATTATTTAAAAGAAATTTTCTCTATATGTGTATTGCCGTGTATATGTAGCGTTTGGGCTGTCGCGGATAGTTTTGTAAAAAAAAAAAAAGCATAAAATCTCGATATCCCGTCACCTCAAATTATTCAAGTAGGAAATATATTATATGCGGCTGAGACTAACAATTTTTTTTGCTTTCTTCTATTCTATAATATTCAGTGTGACGTTGCGTTACGTGAAGGCACACACAACTTCTCGGTGTAACTCAACGTCAATAGTGCTGAGGGTAGCTAAGGTAATAGCCCATAGGGTGGAAGAAAGCGAGGAAAATGATTAACAGTAATGAGTGTAATGACTGGTGTTTTTCGATGATCGCAGTCGGGCGCGTGCTGCTCGCGCTCAAGATGTACCTAAACCCGAACGTAGCGCTAAGGAATAGCTTGTAGTATTTTCTTTTTATTTATATCGCTTTTATTTTACGCTCTCCCCCCTCCCCCCTACTCGTTCTCTCCCTACCTTTATTTATCATCCCTCGATACTTTACTTCGCGTACCTTGTAAGATAGTCGTTCTTATTTAAGCTTCTTTGCGCCCCGTTTCTTTTATCTCTCTTTTTTAGCTTACGACCTCACACCGTGTGTAAAATATTGTACGAACAAAGTACTTAATTGCACTTCCCGGTCCTGCGATAAAAGGATCTATGTACGGGTCTCTTTTTTTTTTCCTGTAACGCTAAATCGAAGATACGTCGTTGACGAGGTGCGAGTTTTCGACGGATCGACGGAATAATTCTCGCAATAAGCAGGGACACACACTCACTCGTTCTCGATGTTAGTCGTCGAGCGCGCGGACACACTTGCTGCATACTCTATTGCGTACCCCTCTCGCTAACTCGATCCTCGAATCCTCGTTGCTGCTGCTCCCGTTGCGGTAGCCGCTGATCACGGAAACATAATTTGTATAAAGTCATATGCATTGTACATGTGCATTATTTATGAAAACTTGATGTTCAATTAAATGATTGTTACCGCAATATAATCCTGTCAGATTTTCTCTCGTGCCTCGATACACCCTTCCGGACTCCGCATTTTCCTCCGCTCTCTATATCTTTCAGGCGTTCTCCGGGTCAGTCCTCGACCAGCAATTTCGTGAAACGCTCAAACTTGACAGTGACGCTTTATTAAAACATTCGCCATAATGTTAAACATCGAAAATAAATAGTCGCTAAAAAAAAAAACATTGCTCGCGCAGCGACGGAAGTCCCGGCGGTCGGAAAGGTGGCTCCGTAGAGAGAGGGTAATATGATAAACGCATAACGTGCACTTCTGAGATTCGAGGACGTAATGTTGTAATGGGCACGAAAGATCTTAATGCGAGGCCTGCACGCGGACTATGGACAATTGATTTTTTTCAATTTACCGTTACGTTTAAAGGTGGAATAAAGGTAAAGCGCGAGGTATGAAGATCCGGGTGCGCCATGCAATGCGGTTTCTCGTGGGATACTTGATCGCTCGAGATCGTAAATACGTTCTTTCCGCGGAATTTTACTCGTTCGAATCACCGCTGAATGCGAGTCGCAATTAAATTCGGGATGAATTTGCACGTCACGGTATCCGGTCAAGTCGCACACGCGCCACCGCCGATGATTATCGCTCCCGTGGATGTGCGTATATCGCTCCGCGGTGCGCCCGCGCGCGCGCGCGCGCGCGGAAGGTGGGGGATTTGTTTTCGGAATCAGTCATCTCCGTGGGTCGACTCAGCTTCCGGAGCTTTGGATGCCGAGTGTGACACTCTGCGGGGCGGACAACAGGGGCCAAATTACCGACCGGCTCTGACAAAGGACGGAGTTGAAAAGGGATCTGGGACAGTTTGCGTGGCGGTTTGTGTTTCCCGATGTTTGCGCGCTCGCGGTATATGGACCGCGGATTATTGTTGAATATAATGATATAACGGGTTCACGGTCCCGAAGGTTACACGGTCCGTCGTCGTCGCGATGTTGTCTCCTCGGTGTGGGACAAGGAGAGGCGTATAGATTCAGATATATATATATATAAAGGCGAATATATACGCCGGGAAAGAGACGAGGAGAGAAAGGAGAGTAAGAGAGACGGGATCTTTTATTTCTGCCCGACAATGAGACGCGCGAGACGGCTCTCTTGTGATCGTACACGCGAATCGTAAACAGAGGCATGGTCACAATACGACTAACTGTACCGTAGATTAATTCACGCACAACGAAACGTATAAGGAGTGCAAGAGTATCGATACTCTCGCGGGTGCAGCTAACAGCAGCGCGTGTAACGTCGTAAAATTAACCGCAAAACAAATAAGGAGCGCTATAAAAAAAATGAACGCAGAACGGATAACTGTGGGAGCAACGTGGAGCCGCGCCGCGCCACCGCGCCGTGAAGAAGACGCAAAGCGGGATGATTGAGTGGCTGTAAGACAGATGCAAATAATTAGAAGAAGATGACGTTATATATAAGGAAGATAATAACAGCGGTGGCAGTATTGAAAGATAAATTGCCGGAGATAAGTGCGAATTCTCAAAGAGAATGCGCGTCGCTCGTGATGTTCTATTTAAAAAAAAAAGCCGGCGAAAAAAAATCAGGACGAGTGATATGCTCCCGTAATGAAGTATCGTTTCACACATTATTTAGCGATTACGGCCGACTATATAGTGGCGCGCGGGGAAGGAGTAACGCAGGTGAGAAGAGCCGCGAGAATGAAGATGATGGACCGACGACCGCCCTGGTGAAAATAAAAATTGGAACGTAAGTCGAACGTAAGGGGAGAGTGACCGAAGCGTAAACGAAACTTCTAGGAGGCGAAAATTGGAACAGCGAAGTGTAAAAGAAGCGTTAACGCTTCCTTTACATTCCGCTGTTCCAATTTTCGCCTCCTAGAAGTTTCGTTTACGCTTCGGTCACTCTCCCCTTACGTTCGACTTACGTTCCAATTTTTATTTTCACCAGGGCGTCGAAGATTCAAACGAGTGGAGAGGCTAAACCATCACCGCATCACTACAGAGGGAGGGGAGGAAAGGGAGCCCGTGGTTCCCATGACGTGCCCAAGTCGGACCAGTGACCCAAATTTTTCGGACCCACTCTGGCGGAGAGCTACAGTACGTACCCACAACCTTCAATATCGGGGGCCTCCTTCCTCCCCCTCGACCCCTCTCTCCGACCCTACCCAATATCACGGATGCGTAAAAGGCTTCTCGACGCGAAAAGATCGATTTATTCTGCGGCGTGACGATATCGGATTGCCGCTCGTCGATGTTCATTCAGGCAGGGATGGAAGAGAGGACGAGAGAGAGAGAGAGAGATGTGAGAGAAAAGGAGAGGGAATAAATTTTGCGCCGGACGCCACTATGCGTGCGCTATATTGAATACGCTCAATTAGTGGCTTCTATTAGTTACAATGATTGTGTAATTTATTTCGCGGGATGATTACACGCCGCGCCGGTATTCCAGCGACCATCTGTTAGTTTAGTAGCCTAGATACCCGAGATGCTGTATGAAACTTGATACACTGCTGAAAACAATTAGCGGAACACTTCTTCGGGGATGCGAGCGTACGTGACATAGTATACGTACATCTCGAATTTCGAATATCTTTCTTAGCGCACAATTCAGAGAACGCCCCCGTGTAAA